TTTGAAGGGCAGTTTGGATAATGGAAAAAAGAATTGCAACTTGGAAGGTAAAAATAGAGGGGGTACCTCGTATTGGGCACTTCATGTGTGTTATTTAAAGCTCATAATGCTCATGACAGCCTTGTGATAGCCTTGTTGGTTTGGCACTATTTTTATCATTCTCATTTTACAGAAAAAATGGAGACTAAAAAACATCAACTAACTTGCCTAGCTAGCAAGTGAACGGAACTACAAATATTTATTGGGCATCAATTACAAGCCAGGCTCTTTTCCAGGCACAAGGAAAATAGCAATTCCTTCTACTCAAAATGCTCTTCCCTAGTCTCCACAAGCCCCAAAAGGGAGCTAGGAAAGAAGAGGGTGAGTCAGGAGCAGGGGGGGGGGGGGGGGGGGGGGACGGCAGGAGTGGGGAAGGTGACGGGAGGTCACAGTGGAGAGAGGGCCAGGGTATGGCATGGGAAGGGAGAGAGAGGCCACAGGCCTTTCTATGGACACTAGCTCAGCAGGTGCTGTGAGAGATGGACCTTCAGGAAAGGAAAGGGGACAAAGATGTTTGGTCCTAAGATCTTTGTTCTCCTGTGGTCTGTTTGCTGAACCTCTTCTAAGCCAGAGGGTGGGAGGGCTGGCAGGGTGGACGTGGGGGAAGTCCGCTGGAGAAAGAGAATCCAGGTGGGAAGAAAATATCTATTATCTCAGTCCCAAAGAGACCTAGCCTTGAGGCTGTGGATCCCGTGCTGCAAAGCCCTTCCCCTCACCTGCCGGAATGCTTCATACCAAAAACATTCCAGAAAGCAGGCTCAGAGAGATGACGCTGGGCCCCCAGGGAGAAGGCTGGAGCTGCAGGAATATTTAGTGCCACATCAATGCTTCCGGAATGTGAATAACCCAGACAACAACCAGAGGGGGGGTGACTTTGGGAGACAAGGGCTTTTTGAAACCAGCACACCAAGTGTCTTAGAATTTCTCCCTATTGTCTGTCCTTTCCCGGGGCCAGTCCTTGAGTGGACACCCCCTCACTGGGTAGTACCGAGGCTTCTCTGGGCAGAAGGGAAACTCTGGGGCATATCAGCCCATCCCCACCATCAGGATGACCCCTTCACTTCTCCCTCTGCCCCATCCAACCGGCTGCCTGGGGTGCTCCTCCTGGTGGGATAAAGTGAAAGGGGAGAGGAATCCAGATGTGTGGGAAGCAGCGGCCCCCCACAGGGCACGATGCCCACGCCTCGGTAGAGATTCTGTTGGGCATCGTGCCTTGCAAGGGGACTCCAGTTCTGCGAGTCAGAATCTGAAGAGTGACAGCTGGAGCATGTCTTGAGGGCCAGGATGGACCCAGGACAAAGGATTAGCTGAAGAGCCTGGGCATTTTTAAACCAGGAGCAGAGTGGTAGCCACATAATAGATGAGAGAGGTGGTCTTTTGGAAAAGAGAAGAGACATACAGGCCATGGCTCAGGGAACAAGATCAAAACCAAGGGGAGGAGGCTTCTGAGTCTCAGCATTCAGCTTGATAAGGCAATCAGCTGTGTCCTGTGTTCATTCATTCATTCAGTATGTGTTTATTTACTGACTGCCTACAGTGTACCCTGTTCTAGGCTTTGGGGTACATTTGTGACTAAAACTGACAAAAAAATCTCTACCCTCATGGGGCTTGCCATTCTAGTGGAGAAAAATAGATGAAACAATAAGCATAATAAGTAAATTATATAGTGCATTATAAGATCACAAGTATTATTGAAAAGGTTTTGGAAATAGATAGAAATAATGGTGTCACAACATTGTGAATGTAATTAATTTCACAGAATTGTATGTTTAAAAATGGTTATATATATTTTACCACAATAAGAAAAACATTAAAAAATAAAAGGTCATAAGTGTTAGGAAAATATTAATAATTAGGGTGGAGTACAGGGAATAAAAATGGTTTTTGTTTTGTTTTGATTTTTTTATTTCTTTCAGGGAATAAAATTTTAAATAAGGGTGATCAGAGAAGGCCTTGCCGAGCAGGTGGCATTTGAGCAAAGACCTGGAAGGGAGGGAGTTAGCCACGTGGTATCTGGGGGAACAGAGTTGCAGGTAGAGGGAACAATCAGTGCAGAGACCTTAAGGCAGGAGCAGGTCAGGCAAGTTCTAGAACAGCCAGTGAGGCTGGAGCAGAGTGAACAAGAGTAGCAAAACGGGGTCAGGAGAGGTAACGAGGGTGGGAAAAGTAGATGACATGGGGCCTTGCGAGCCATTGTATGGGCTATGGCTTTTATTATGAGTGAAGTGGGGAGCCACTGAGAGGTTTCAAGCAACAGAGTGACATCATCTAACTTAGGATTTTAAAGAAATTCCTCTAGCTGCTTGTTGAGAATAGCCATGGCAGGGGTCAAGTTGGAAGCAAGGGGGCCTAGTAGGAGTCCAGTGCTGGAAAGAGGTGATGGGGCTTGGACTGGGGTCGTAGCAGTAAAAAAAAATGAGGAGTCAGATTTGGGACATATCTCGAAGGTAGAGCTAACAGGCCTTCCTGAAGATCAGACGTGGGGTGTGAAACACAGAGAACCAAAAACAACTCCACGGGTTCTGGCCTGAAGGACTTGAAGGGTGGCGGGTCCATTAGGTGGGCAGGAGAAGGCTTGTGGGTGGAGGAGACGTGGGGTGAGCTCAGGGGCACTCAGACCTCCAAGCACAGATAAGACGTATAAGGAGTCTGGAGTTTGGGAAAGAGATTTGGGTTGAAGATAGAGATTTGGGAGTTGTTGCTATAAGGAATTTCTCCTTTGGGTAGAAACTCAAAGTAGATGAACTCTGAAGTGCCTTCCCATTGTGAAAATTCTCAGAAAGCAAATCGGTTGCTTGTGAAACTTGCCTGAATTTGATTGTAGGGGGAGGTGGGAGGTCATGAGCTGGGGCAGCACATTTTTCCTGGTTGGGATCAGCTTTCTCCTCCTGATTAAGATTAAGGAGGCTTCTCTTAGGGATAGGAGGAAAAAGTTGGGGGAAATGACCTTTCATACGAGGTTACTTTAAACAGTTCATGGGAAGATTCAAATTATCTTTTAATCTAATTCTCCATGAACTTTTTGAAGTACCCTCATCTAGTTTAATCTTCTTGAGACTCAGTTCCC